CTCAACATCTATGTATTGCGCTATTACTAATATGCAAATAATGCATCAGGCTTCACTTCATAGTTTAACACTGTAGATCAAATGGTCACTTTTTTGGATACTTGAAAATACATGAAATATCTCACATCTAAAACTAAGTTTATGATCTGTATTCCCTGAAATGCACTCACCTCCTGATGTGTAACCACATTAGAGTTGTAAAAGCAGAATTCTGGAAGATATCCTTGTTACTTGCCTCTCACTTCTACATACCATTCACCCTCAACAAACTGTTCAATCTACCTCCTCCACAATATCCCTCAACATTCCATCTCTATTATCACCTGAGACCATGTTACCATCGTATTTCACCAAAGCCAGAATCATTACAACACCCACAAAGTCATTTATCCTCCTTGACTCTAGCCTTTTTACTCATTCTCTACTCTTTAGACTGATCTAAGAATAAAAATTTAATCCAGGTATCACTCTGTTTAAAGCAAAATTCCTTAACACTACCCACAATGCCCTGGATCAATGAATTCATATTTTTTGGTGGGTTCATTTGTTACAGCAGAACAAATCACCTAAAATATCAGTGGCTTAAAAATAACAATGTAATATTAGTACTGAGGATTTCATGAGTTGTTCAGCCTCACCCGACAAGCTGTCACCCAGTCTCTCGCATAGTTGCAGTAATAATTTGGCTAGAACTGAGATCATCTGCAGGCTCAGTCAAGCTGGATATCCAATATGGCATCTTCATTCACATATATGAGGATAGGTCGTATACCTTTCTCTTCATGTATTCTTTTTCACGGCTAATGTCCAGTTATTCCAAGTATGGCAGGCTTAGGATACTCCACTTCTTACAAGTTACTTTTTTCAGAGTGTACTTTACAAGAAACCCCCCCCCCAAAAAAACTATAAAACTTCTGATTTTGCCTCAAAAGTTATTCAGTATATTACCTATCTTGATCTAGATGTTAAAAATCAAGTGACAAGTTTAGTCCAGTTTCAAAGGAAGAAACTCTAAAGCAGCTTGAATGTCTGAAAACAGTTCTTTGGAAAAAGAGAGTGTGTAGTGGGGAGTATCAACCACACCTACCTATCTCTTCAATCCTTTTGTATATCACATCCTCTACAGCTTCTTCCTTCTTAGCTACCATAGATTTCCTTCAGAACCTTGCTCTTGCCATACTTGTTCTTGTTTGCTCATATTCACACCACTTTCTTTACTTTGAATGTCATACAGTAGCCTTACCTCCTGTTCAACTTTCAGCTCTCTGTCAAGCCTTATGAAAGCCTTCCCTGTCTCCCCTTGCCAGGTTAAGTTATGTAATATATAAGCTTCAAGGATTAGACATGTTCTCCAAAAGATCCTCATCCCCACTGCATTTTTCATTTCTCTGGGTGATTATGCAACTTGTATCTCAAGATCCTGCAGCATGCTGAAAGGAGAACCTTGTCAATTTCTGGTTAGCCAATATATGTTTGCAGATGAAAGAAATTAAGAAAATTAATCTCTGTATAACAAAATATCTTCTCCTTTATAAATTACAGTGAAGCATATAGTTCACTGTATACTAGACATTTAGACAACCCCATATATAAAGCATTTTTTCATCCAGCCAGTCTGAAAAAATGTAAAGACTATACTCCTTTGCTATATCTTGCCTACAACATTAGTAGATATCTAAAGAAAACAATTACTGTATACCAATTATGGAAGTTTTGTGGTATTTTTTCCAATCACTTTACAAATATGCCTAAAACTAACTTTTATTTTAATTTCTATGCCTAAAAGAAAAAGAAAAAGTGGTAAGTGAACCAAATCAAAGAGTGAATCAAGAAAGAAGTGACTTCCTCCATTACACAGGAAACCATTACTGATAGTGGAGACTACTAGAAGCATCTACTTAGATGCTTCTACACAGACCATACCTAATTCTTCTTTGACTAAAACTCCATACCTAATGCTACCTGCTCCCACTACCTTAAAATACATTGCCTAGAAATCAACATATCACAATTGTCATCCCAAAATGGAAAAAATCATCCTGAAGGTTAACACAAAGAACAAAAGATTATATTGAGCCCATTGCCAGTGGCTCACAGCTGTAATCCCTAGCTACTGAGGAGGCTGAGATCTAAGAATTGCGGTTTGAAGCCAACCTGGGCAGAAAAGCCAGAAGAGACTCTTATCTCCAATAAGCTGCTCAGAAAAAGCTGGAAGCAGCACTATGGTTCAGGTGGTAGAGCACTAGTCTTGAGCCCAAAGAGGCTCAGGGACAGTGCCCAGGCCCTGAATTTCAAGTTCCAGGACCAGCAAAAAAAAAAAAAAAGGATTGCATTGGAGAAGATACATTCACTAGTAAATGGCTCTTCCTCTATTTTTGTTAAAGAAAAGTTTGAGTAATTATAAATAGTATCATAAGATTTATTATCCAAAAGTTCATTCTATTTTTGGTATTTGAATTCCAACTACGAACCCGAATTGTTTGCACCAATTACATCTAGTCTAGTGACAGAAATTTTCTGGGAATCTGTTCCAGTCTTCATGTGTTTACTTATCCCTTCTCCTCACTACAACCTAACCTCTACTGAGGCATCAGCTTGGACAGTCTCCACATTCATTCATCCAGTAATTTATTGGGGTCTACATTGTCATCCCAATAAATTACTGGATGAGTGAATATGATAGGCTTCAAGAATTCTATCTAGTCTTAATATTTATGAATATGCTTATTTTTAATCAAGAATACATTCTGTCAACATGAATAAAATTACTATTTTTTCATTTATCTTTATGAGCTTTTTGTACATTCACTCTATTTTGGAGGGTTTCTAAATGTTTTCTCAAAACTAGTAACAGTGGCTAACACCTGCAATCCTCACTACTCAGAGGGATAAAAAGGGAGATTGTGTGGCCTAAGGCCATCCCAGGCAAAAACTTTGTGAGACACCATCTTAAGCAATAAAAAACTGGGTGAGGTTGGGTGCCTGTCATCCTAGCTCTCTGTCCAGGCTGACACAGGCAAAAAGCAAGAAAAATTAATTTTGAAAAAGAAGGCTGGGGGCTCTAAGTTTAAACTCTGTTTTGTAATATGATAATAAGTTTTCTAGAATAAAATTACTTTTTTCTCAGTGCCTGATCAGGAACCCATATATTTATGTAGTTTGAGGAGTCTGCTCAGTTCAAAGAAATCTATGGAAAATAATAAAGAAGTCTACACACAAGTACATGAGTATGAATGTCATTTTTGACAATAAGTGAGCCTCCAGTTCAGTAAATTACAAAAACTCTAAAAATTAATGCATCCATTCATAGGACATAAAAATAGATTCTAAATCTAACCTGAATCCAAATTCAGTCTCTTAATAAATTGTACTATTTTACATTAAAAGATGGAATTAATACGCTGGGAGTCAGTGGCTCACGCCTGTAATCCTAGCTACTCAGGAGGCTAAGATCTAAGGATCATGGTTCAAAGTCAGTCCAGGCAGGAAAGTTGTAAGACTCATCTCCAATTAGCCACCTGAAAACAGGAAGTGGCACTGTGGCTAAAATGGTAAGAGTGCTCGCCTTGAGCTGAAGAGCTCAGGGACTTCCCAGGCCCAAAGTTCAAGCCCCACACCCCCCCAAAAAAAAAGATTGAATAAAGTTGAAACATTAATTATAGAGTTAATGAGTAATAATTTTAATACCAAATAGTCCTAGTAAAAGAAATCCCTTGCCTGGTATCCTGTACAATGAATACTGACCAACAAAATATGACTTGTGAGTTTTCTGTGGGTGAGTTTCTCTTCCATTTTGTACCTTACTTCTCAAGTCATTGATCACACTGAATTATTCAGAGCTAAACATTTTTCCTTTGTCTTACTTCTTATTAAGTGTTGGATTAAGATCTAGATTATCGACTTTTACACTATAATGTATTCAATGGAAATTTTAACTCTTAGGCAAGTTTCACCAGCTCTTCAGAGGCTCCATTTTCACAGATTGGAGCTTTAAAAAAAAATTGTGTTACAAGACACACAACTGGCTTGCATTTATCAACAGCATTAACTTTTGCCTTTTGGAGTTGTTTGGTTCTCTTTTAAGTTCACTCACATTCAGTAGTGAGAGAGAGAGAGGGATAAAGAGGCACTTAAGCACCATTTGCAAAGTGATTTTTCAAGCCTTGATTTCCAATCTAACTCTTGACTCCACCTATGTCTACTACAGCAACCATCCAGAAGGCTTAGAACAAAGACAGATCTTTGCATAGGTCTTTCTCTAGACCCCCAATCAATCAAATCTTTTAATATTTTATACAATGAAGAAAAATAAATCGAAACATATTCAGTATTAATTTGGATTACTTTTGGCAGTTAATTTCAATCTCACCCAGATATACATACACATATACATGTATGTGTATCATGTATGTATGTATCCCATCCTCCCTCCTGTCAGAACTAAGGTTCTTCCTCCTCGTTCGCAACTAAGGCCAACACTCACTCTTCACAAGTAGGAGTAATACCGAGGGACAGGAATTTCAGACCTATTAGAAATATGAACTATATTCCTTTTGTCAAGGCAGTTCCCTGGTAGAACAGTGTTGGTGGTCAACGTCTGAGCTATCTATTTTTCAAGCTGAAGTCTTGTCAAGGGCAGATGCAAGGTGAGCACTTCTCTTGGTCCCCGGGCAACCCAGAAGGATTTGTGAATGACTGTGAAAGGTCTGCACCACCTCCCAGCTAGACGCAGGCGCTGCCTTGAAAACAGCAAGGTGAGGCTTGGGAAATGCCTATCACATTCGGTATCCCCTAGATAAGAAGTACGTACACACACAACACACACATAGACACACACACACACACATACACACAGCAGCAGCAGCAGAGCCCTGCGGGGAAGCGGCCGGGGAAGCCCCGGTCAGCATCCTTCCCCAGCCCAAGTGCGAAGCCGGCCTCCGCCTCCGCGCCGGGGCTCGCTCCGCGCCGGGGCTCGCCCTCGGTCTCTCCGCCGGCCTTACCTCGGGGGCTGCTTTCTTGCAAGTACGGAGGGGCGGTGGGAGTGACATTTCCCGAATGGGATGCTGACAGCAGAGGCGAGCGTTCGTCCACCCCATCCGCAGCCATGGCTGACTGCAGCAGCGGCGGGGCCGGCGGGGGCTGAGCCGGAGGCTGCGGCTGGGACGGAGGGGGTGGCCAGCGCCGCCGCGGCCGCCGCCGCCGCGCCCGATCACAAGGCTGGAGGCGGAGGGAGGAGAGGGTGCGGGACCGAGGGGCGGGGGAGGGGAGGCATGCCGGGGGAGGAGAGGGCCGCGAGGAAGAAAGAGATGAGTCGGGGGAGGGGGCGGGGGGGAGGGAAGACGTGGAGCAGCCGGAGCCCAGCCAGTGGAGAAAAGAAGAACAAATTAGGGCTGCGGGGAAAAGCTGGGAGGGGGAGGGGCCAAGCCGCGCGGGGAGGGGTCCCGGGGAGGGGGAGGGGGTGTCTGTTCGCCAAGGCAAAGGTGGAGACCAGAGCAGCCTTGAAAGGGATTCGGAGAAAAGGCCGATCTTGATTACAGGAAAACTAGAGCAAACACCAATAACCAAGTTTAGCTCCCCCAGGGAGGCAAGGCGACTGACTTTGCTGTCCAACTTTGTAGCAATTGTACAAAGAAGGCTTATTTCTAGGGTCATCAATTCCTTCTGGAGGGGTTCTTTGTTAGGAAATAATTGCTCCTCTTGTGTTGTTTAAGAGGAAGTAGATTTTGCAGACATAGCAAGCCCCATTTCCCTTATTGTTGTTTTTTTTTTAACATCACACTTTAGGATTTTTAACAGTACCTATGCTTGTGTGCTGGCTTTCACAAGTTGCATTTTACAAAATATGTTGCTCTGTGAGATACGTTTTTTGTCCCTGCCACATAAAAGGTTAAAATATAATGGGAGTCAAGTATAAATAATATTCTGGCAATCATGTTTTAAAATAATCTACTTGTAAACAAGTTAGAAACCAGACAAGCTAAGCTTAGTTTTGTGTTACTGTTTAGGGTTTCTTTTTTCTTTTCTTTCTTCCTTTCTTTTTTGATGGTTTGCCATAGTTCTAAAGTTGTTGACTGAAAACAAAAGTAAATCAGAGTTTGTTTTTGTAATATGCCAGAATAAAAAATGAAATAAGCAAAGATTGGGAGGATGTGGTCCAAAGCCAGTCCAGACAAAAAAAAAAAAAAAAAAGAAGAAAGAAAGTTAGACCTGATCTCAACAAAATTCCTTATAATCTCAGCTATTTGGGCAGCATAGGTAAGAGGATCACAGAGCAAGATTAGCCAAGACAAAAGGCAGGAAACCCTATCTGAAAAGTAAGAGAGGACAACAAAAAGGGGTAGGAGACCTGACTCAGATGTTGGTATTTGCCTAGGAAGTGTGACACTGACACTGCATTCAAAGCCAAGTACTGCCAGAGAGAGAAAGAGAGCATTAAGAAAATAGGCATTGTCTAGAAATATTATTGCTCTCTTAGTGGCCCTCCACAGATCTCTAGAGCCTGGTCTCAGTCCCTAGCTTGAGAGAGGTAGCAAAGTCAAGCTAAGCAAAAAATGAGCCTGGTAATCTCAGCTATAGATTTCAGTGGTTATAAGGAGAAGCAAATGTCAGACATTTGAAACCATGTCTCATGTTACTTTAAAAAGGGTCCTTGTTTTGTTCTCTGCAGACATGCGCTTTCTTCCAGAAAATCCATTTAGGTATCAGCTAGAAATCCTAGGGGAAACATCAAAGAATGGTGGTTTCTCTTGTGCAGTATCTCTTGTTATCAGTAACATGGATAAAATGAAAAATAAGTATCCTCATATGAGATAAATAAAGGCATGTGTAAGTTTAGGAAACTGAAGCATCACAACGTAGCACTCTCTGCAAAAATGCCTATAACTTACCAGGTGAATAACAGTATTTTTATAGTAGTAGACAGGAGGCTATTGACTTTTAAAAGATTTTAGGAATCAGGCTAAAAGGTGGCTCAGTGGTAGAGCACTTGCCTTGCATGCATGAGGCCCTGGGTTTGATTCCTCAGCACCATATAAGCAGAAAAAGCAAGAAGTGGCACTGTGGCTCAAGTGGTAGAGCGTTAGCCTTGAGCTGAAGAGCTGAGGGACAGCACCCAGGCCTAGAGTTCAAGTCCCACAATCAACAACAACAACAAAAAAAAGATTATAGGAATCAAAGAATCATGGTACAGGTTGGATGAATATTACCCAATAGCCATATGTAAAGGCTTGGTCCTCATTGTGGTAACCATTTTGGGAGGTGCTGGGGGCCTTGGTAGAAGATCCCTAGATTATTGAAGGCATGCCCTCAAGAAGGAGTGCGGGCCCCAGTCTCTGTTTCTTTCTCTGGGTCTTGATGTGGTGGTCTGTGACAGCTTATATCAAAACTAACAAGCAAAAAATAGGGTTGGAGGTATGGCTCAAGTGTACAGCATCAGTCTAGCAAGTGATGCAAGTCCTTGAATTCAAATCATGGCTCTAAAAACAAAAGCCTATTGATAAATACAGGAAAGTAGATAGATGATTGATAGATGAGTACACATAATTTGCCTCAGTTTCATGTTCTTTTTGGTTCAGATGTGTTTTGTATTTATAAATAAAATATCTACTAGTAAACACTACAATAGAGTTGAGGCAAATAAGAAAAACCATTTCTTGTAATGGAGGTAAACTCAATTGCAGGAAGACATTGGAAAGATTGTTAGTATATAATGCAAATATGATCATTTGCCCAGTGAAGTGGTAAACATCTATAATCCAAGAATTTAGAATTTAAGGCAGGATGATTTTAAGTTCAAGACCAGCTGAGCTATATAGCTAGAAGCTTTCTCAATAAACAAATAAGAAAGAAACAGAGAAATAGGGAAAATATGAACATTTGTTTATTAACCATGAAAACAAACATTTTGGTTAAAAAATTTTAATAACTTCTACATGATAATATTGTGATAACTACATCTTAATTTATCATGCTATTTCAAGGACCTAACCTGCTTATCTGTTAACATAATTAACAGTTATAGTTAGTGCCTTGAAAGCAATATCAGGTATATTTCACTATCCTCAAAGAAGTTTGTCTGAGAAGTTTGTGTGTGTTTGTGTCTTAGGGTAAAGAATTGTAGAAGTAATTTTATGTATGGAAGTAGTTGCCCTTTTCAGCAGCAGATTTTTCTCCTATTAACAAAATGTGGTTTTGATGTGTGATTCTTCCTACTTCATCTCTTCACCAGTGTTTTCAAACTAGTTAACTCAACTAGATTAACATCTCAATTGGTTATATTTTATCATTTTCATATGCTCATTAGAAATACTGATAATTGGGCTGGGAAGGTGGCTCAGTGGTAGAGCGCTTGCCTTGCATGCATGAGGCCCTGGGTTCGATTCCTCA